CTAGTCTTGAAACGTATATACATTGAAAATAAACATTTCCACATTCGACGCATTGGCTGTTTTATTCAATTCAATATATATATATATATATATATATATATATATATATATATATAGTAGCAATTTGAATACCGTATAAAAATTAACCGGTATGAGAAGCCCTCGACAACATACAATTACTATTGACATATACATTTTAGTAATCTTTTCCGTATTCAATCTTTATTTTTTGAAAAGATAAAGTTGAAGTGACTTCAACTGATAGTTAATTCTGAATAAAATATTTGTATTGGGGTTGAATTTAGTTTATCATCAGTGGTATCTGTGGGCTTTCGCCAATATTTTATTCTTGAAATCAACCCCGGTAGTGAGCTTAGAGCTTTCGCGAGAGTCTCTTCGACTGCGGTTTAAATCATTGCTAAAGCTTTATCTTTGTTTTTTAATATTACAATAACGTTGTTGAATTTTTTATAAATGATATTACAAAAAATTTTACATACCTAATTGTGAGTAAATTGTAACACTTATCGGTGGGTTTCAATTAGCAATTGATATATTTATTTATTTACTCATGTTTTTTTATAAGGACTATGAACTTACGGATTTTTGTGAATTATATACGTATTATTTAAGAAATATTGGTAATTATGCATTTAAAATTATTTTTGTAACTCTATTTAGGTATTTACTTTGTTTTGTTTAGTTTAGTTCACTATTTGCTTCACATTGATTTTTTTTGTATTATATTTATGTTATTTTGTCATGAAATTGTTGTAAAATATTCAAATAAGAAAATTAACTAGTGGTGGCATCATGCTTTAAGGTAATTTGCTGGAGCTTCCCGTACCGTAGTAAAATCTTCGAGGAATATTAATTGATTTCAAATAGATTATTATAAATGCTGCAACTTTCATTGATCATATTCTATAGACAAAATATAGGAGCTTATAAATTAGACGATGACTTTTATGTATGTTCACATGAAAAGTAAATAAACAAAACTTGATCAAGCGACGTTAGAATGAAGGAGGTTATCTCATATTGCTAAGAATTATGTAAACTAAATTGCAAAGTTAAAACTATTTATTTGACACACACACATATATATATATAAATATATATACATATATATATATATATACTTCTTTCTTAAATATAAGAGAGTTTTAGAGTTTTAGCTGGAATTAAAATTAAAATCCAAGTAATTTTTTATATTATAAATAATTTTATTTTTAAGTTTCGGGAAAAAAATCCAAAATGTTTTTTGAATCATTCGAATTGAAAGCTTTGTTCTATCAAAACTGTCATTTTTTACACTTTCAGCTCTTTATATCTGAAACGACTGTGCCTGTCTTTGCCAAAAACTAATCACCATGAATTCTTATCAATACGAATTGAATGTTTTTTGAATCATTCAAACCGGATGCCCTGTTTTCTCAAGAACTTAATTTCCTGTTTATTCACTTTTTGCTTTCTATCTCAGAAACGGCTGGACCGACTTTCCCCAAAAACTAGTCAATTCAATAGCAGTAGACTCGAAAACGAAAAATTGTATCCATACACACACACACACACACACAAACATGAGAAACCTCTGAAACGCGAATATATGCAAAACGTTCCACTTTCGATTTTTCGACGATTATAATAACTTACCCTGCGGAAAGTTAAAAAAAAAACTACTAGTTGTAGTCAGAGCAACATGCTCCGGAGAACTCATTACTACCATATGAACTTGTTTTTTGTATATGAAAGTACATAGCAAACAGACTTACTCATTAAAGTGGAATCTGAATTTGTTTTTGATTTATGAAATAATGTCAAGATATTCAAATTTACATGATGTTTAAATTATTTAAAAACATGTTAACGGTAACATTTTTAAATATATTGTTAATTGACAATTTTACTATTTATACTGAGTTCGGTGCTAATAAATGTAGTTAGACATTTTTGTAGTTGTAAAATAATGTAAAAATTCCAACGAAATACCACAAATATAAAAAATACTTAAATCTTATACCGTACCGTAATATATACATAAAATCTTTATTTGATAAGTTAATTTTTAGTTATTTTTATTATAGTTATTTTAATCCGGTTTTAAAAATAAATTGCTAATAATGAAATATGTTGTCGTAACGTTTAACAAATAAATTTTAATAGTAGGCTATTATTTACTTCTATCTATAGCTTTTACAGCATTCAAAAAATACTACAAGTAATAATATAAAACATTTTATTTTAATACCAATGAATTTTTGCAAGTTTGTCAAATTACATGAGGAAAATCATAATAATAAAGTTTTCTTTGTAAAGTAGTTTTTTTATATTAACTATCCTGTTCACACCAATGTGAATTTTCTCAAGTATTCTAAAAGTCCGCCGTATTTTATTCTATTAAATAATGTAATAAAACAAAAATTACTTTTTTATAAAATACATGGAAGAGTGGAGTAGGTATAGAAATGTTTTATATTTAAGTATGTATATAAAACAGTAAACATTTAAAATTCGCATATACATTGTTTATTGTAAAATGAAAACATTTTCATATAAATATATCTACACTTGGCGACGTAGTAATGCTTATAAGTCTATATATATATATATATATATATATATATATAATGTTAGATTTTTGAATTAAGATATTATATTTATATAAAAAACAAATGTATTTTAGCAAGTTTAATTTCATTTTCATATCAATACAATTCCTGAATAATAATAAAATTAGATACAATATATAAATATTTTATCTTAAAACAAATAACATTTTACATTTATGCATCTTGAAGGACACCGTATTAAATCTATCGCATATTTTCCTAAAGATATGATGAGTTAATGAATCTAAAGATATCTAATATAACAAACAGATTATCTTATATACTAACTCACTTCCAAAAAAGAAATTTTATACGAAGATCACAAACAATATTATATATTGTGTAATACTATACGTGTTTATTTCATTGTTGAATATGTCTTTTACTCATTTTCACAATTATCCATGTATTCACTGTTTAACACTTTAATTCACTTTAATTTATAGTAAAAATTATTTTGATTAGAGAAAATTATATAATATATACTTATGAATTACTTTTTATGTCTAACATTTGGCACGTGGCATATTAGTTTATTTCTTCAGATTATGTGTTGGGTGACTTAATAAATATGAATTGTAATCTTGAAATTGTTCATCATGAATAATTTTGTTTGTATTCTATAAACATGTACTGCACATATGTATTTCTTACTCTAAAGACATCTAATTTCAACAATTGTAAAGATGGTAATATATAACGTAATTAATTAATTTCCATTGCCTTTTCATCGAATGTATCATGAAATAAAATTCGGTAAGAGTAGTTTTATTGGTTCATAAACTTGTAAAGTGATAATGAAATTTTTACGATGCACATAAGCCCAATAAAAATGAATTAAATAATCGAAAAAACATAAAAAATAAATCAATAATTAAAATAATAAAAGTAAATTTGTTAAGTAGACAAATTAGATGGTACCAAGTTGAATTAAGTACCTTAAAGTACTTTGTTACAGAGGCTATATGAAATATCTATATTAATATTTATAAAAAGTTTTGAGCCATACAATCAAATTAGGACTATAATTCAAAATTGCCTTTTTATAATTTTCATACGTAATATAAAAAATGCGAATGAATATTTTTTTGACAAAATTTCATCTAACTTATGACTGCAATTAAATTTCAATGTGCATCTTAATCAAGAAATATATAGTGCTATTACCCTTTCGCTATAAGTGAGGCGTCTAGAGACGACATCGACATGACTATAGACGACATGGGAACACAAACACAAATTGTGTGTACAGGTTTTAATTTTTAAACACATTTTCATTGATAAAATCATTGAAAAATTATAGAATATGTTGTTGTGTCTGGTCCGTTCAGTAGCATTGGGGGGCACCCTGTTCCGTACAGCAGCGCCACTCCTGCGGAAAACCCTGTTGTAGCGAAAGGGTTAATACAATTGTTTAAAATAGATTCTTTAATACTTGATACTTGATACTATGTTAATAGCATGTTTATGCATAATCAAGTCTTGTGAAGAGTTAGTATTCGAATTTTGAATCGAATTTTAATATTTGACACATTTCATTGGCTTCTTATCATAGACCTTACACATTACATACTTTAGACTGGTCCTTAATATGAATGTTTTCTAATTTCCTTGGTCCCAGGGGATCAAATGCTTTCCAATTGATAAAACAAAATTCTATGGAAGTTTTAAGTCTTAATATTAATTTTAAGATGGTCCGCACTCCAACCAAAGTTTCCTATTTCTTCTTCCTGAGTGACTACTTATTTTAGGAAATATAAATTTTTTGTTGTAATTTTTTACGGTCAAAATAGGCAAATACAATATATTCTCGAAATTTTTATTCACTTATAAAATTCTAAGAAACAAACGAAATTTTACTCATGTTATTTCTATAAGAATCTTTAGTCGGAGTGCGGACTACCTTAAAATTAATATTAAGATCAAAAACTTCCAGAGAATTTTATTTTATCATTTTTGAAGCAATTGATTACTTGGGAGCAAAGGAATTCAAAAAATCCATATTAGGGATTACCCTATTATAGATGTATGTATCTAACATTTATGTATTATAAGGTCTATGCTTCTAATACTAATTCAATAACAAGTATAACAGATAATTTCATGTTTATCTGATTTTCTTGAATTTTTTGAAAACAATTTCAAAATTACAAATTCATGGTTAAATATTTTGTTAAAACTAAAACAAAAACCATCGTTCTCATCTTGTTAAATTCGAGAAAAAACGACTAATTGTAAGTTTTTTGTTTGTGTCTAATTATTCATGAAATACATGTTAAAACTAATTTTTAACATCGAATTGAGCATGGCACGTACGATTAAAAATTAAAATTGAATTATTTCGAAGTATATTTCATCCGTCACTTTTTCACTGTAGCATTCTTCCATACATTCGGCATATCACCAGATCATTCACACGTTGCGCGTATCACCAGTCTCAAGGTCAAGGTTCTTGCTGGACCTGAGGAAAGAAAATTAGAAATTAATGCAATTTGCTCATATTTAATTTGTATATACATGTAATTTATTACTTATATACTTAGAAAAAGGCAGAGGAATAGCAATTATTACAAGAAAGGTATAATTTCAAAGCGAGAATTATAGCATTCTAGATCCTCCCTCCCTGAAGTAATGACTTAAGGCGGTTTCAGTGGAGACCAAGAGATAAGCGGAGGTTTTTTATATACTTAAAATAAAAATAAATGTAAACAAGAACCATGTGGGCCGATGCAGTTTTAGATTCAACACAAATATTTGCTATCTTGCCTTCAGCACAATGGAATCTATGGATTTACATTTGTGTAAAAGTGTAGTGTGTTCATGTGTTAATAATTGTTCTTCATTCTACTGAATGGTGATCAAGAAGCAGATCGAAACGTATTAATAAATAAATCTTAATTCACAATTGCTTTAGTTTTTTTTACTTGGTGTTACTGCCCGAATCAACGTAACTTATGAAATATATATCAACACCAAATTCACATACTCTAATATTAGAACAATATTACAGTTTTTTTTATTTTATATACATTTATATCTATCCTATTTTTTAATATTTTACGTTCGATGCCTTTCTGCATCATAAATTTTTTCTCAATATAATTCTTGATCAAGTATTTCGTCTCAATCATACCGTATAAAGTGCCTCTACTTTTTGCACGGCATTCCCATTTACTACTTTTTCGGTTCATTTTAACTTCTCCATTCATTTTCAATATCTTTTAGGTACCTGTCGCCATTTACCAGAAATCACAAAATACTAAGCACATCATTCATTTTTTTTTTCAAATATAATTTTTAATGACGCGTATTGCACCTATATATTAGAAACTTAAAACATTCTTGGTAATGAATTCTTTGATTTTGGTATCTGTTACTATTATATACATATGAAACAAAAAACAACTAGTGGTATCTTGCCTTAAGGCAAACTGCAAGAACCTCTCGTACCAAAAATTGAAATTTTTGAAATATTTTGAAAGCTGAAAAAATAGGATTTGGAAATTATGGAATTTTTGAAAAAAAAGTTTAATATAATTTTTTTTATAGTTTGAAATCTTTTGAATACATTTAACTTTTTTTTAAAGCAATCGCGCTGCTTTGCTGTTTTAATGAAAAAATATCAAAGCGCGTAAGCGCCGCATTGCAGTCTCACGGATAAACTTTGATACGGAACCCATGGAAATGTAAAGAAAATTTGTACTTATTAAGATCTCTATAAAATATTTGATAATCTGATGTGCATATGTTTAATGTTAATTTTTACTATATAGTTAGGAAATGTCATAAAATCTAAATTCTATATTTTTAGAATTATTAATTGGAGCGTACCTTAAACCAGATCAACCTTAAACCATACGATTTTATGGTTGTTAAAATTCTAGTTAAATGTATTTGATGATTGAATATAAAAATTCTACAAACTTATACTTTAATATTAAAAATTATTACTTTTATTATATATTTACTCCAATTATATAATTAAAAGTACTGGATCAATTTCACTCTCGATATTGAGATATTCCTATATCTCAAAACAATAATATATGTATTCCTTACTTTATAAAATATAATGTATGAATTAAATTGTAAAATAATTTTTATAGAATGTTTGATCATCTCATAAGCAAGAATCTGCTAACAAAGCAGGTAGATAATGTAGTTCACTTTATATTCAGGTAAATCCAGTTGTCGCCCTTAACTCTCCTTTAACCCCTTGTCAGGTCAATAGTTATTATCTATATTTTTTATTTTATTGCTTCGAGCAAATGCATGTACTTAACTGTCCTTTAGTACAGGTAAAATCAGTTTTGTCGTATATTTTACTTGTTATTTATAGCTGTAAATTTAAAATTACCTGCGTTTTCACAGTTGGCCCGCCGTCAGCCCCGCGCGACCCTGACGACAAGATCAGACTTGCGTGTGGGTATTTGGGTGCATCGTTTCCCCTTCAGGATTCCCAGCTATCTGGTTGGCTGGAGAGTAGTACTGAAAATAAATTATGATCCATTAATTACAGAGCGACGATTAGAATTAATAAAATAGAAGATTTTAGAAAAATGTTTTTAAATATTTTAAACTTTTAAAATATATAAAAATATAACTTTTTGACTACGATAAGCTTTATCTGTTATCTTCCTCCGCAAAATTTTGAACGCGCCTTTCTCGAAAATGTTTTTGAAGTAAAACTTCTTTAGGCACTAGGGTGGTAACTCAGAGAATATGCAATAGAACGGCGTTACGCCACAAATACTGATTGTGGCTATTAATGGCGTCATTTGAAATGAGTGCATGTAATTGGTTATATTGTCTTCTCTAAAGTATATCGATATCGATTTTGAAATGTCAAACGTCAAAAATGTTGAGGTAATGTAATGTGAGAATCTCTGAATTTCAATAGCATTTTTACACAGTCAGTCAGCCGTAAATAGTTATTATAAGAAAAACAAATCAAACCCATTGAAAAATGCAAATTTTTGTTTTATTAACTGTAATTGCTATATATCTTTGACTACACTAAACTAAAATATTTTTAAAAGTATAGCAAATATTTCATAACTATAACTAACTATAGTTGGATATATTCATACAGTTCTAGCTCTTCTTTCTACTAAAGCTCTTGAAAATAAAAGGGGTAAAATTCAAAATCTAATATTATTTATTCGAGGGAAATCTATATATATATATATAAATGGGGCACCTATTAATAGTGGGTCTAATCAAATGCCTCCAATTGAAATAGGCATAACCATAAAAATATTATGATAAATACATGAGATGTAACAATAACTATTGCTATATATATATAGATATATCATTTTATCGATCAAGATGTTTCTTGATATGTTCGTCAGCAATTCCATAAAAAAAGTCTTTGATACAGATGGCTTAATTCACATGTGTTTGAAAAGTTGGTCTAGCTTTGTTATTAAGAAGACTGGTGTGCATTAGTAGTGTTACTATTTACCAATAACTATCATTCAAAATTCTTATGTGAACCTTACACTCACTCTTTTTTTTCGAGACGATACTGACTGATTTCAATTTCTACTAGACCGATTTACATGAAATATTTTTAGGGTTCACTTTCTCTTCGTAAGACGTTCGTTTCTAAGTTCTGATTTGTACTGTTTTTAAAAAAAATCAGAATATCAAAAAGTTTGACTTTTAATTTTTAGACATTCGCTATTTCGCAAAAAAAAAACTTTCCTGCAGTTCATACCATTGAGATAGTATTCTCGATTTATAATTAATATATAGTTTTTTCCTTCAGATTATTATTATTAATTGGATGACTAAAATCATGGCCAATTTTTGAAACTTACACTTTATCAACTTTTAGAATTGAAACTTTATAACAGTTTTTTTTTTGTATTTTGAAAACATCTAATAATAACATGTAAAAAACGTAGAGGTAAAATTTTGTTTACTCTTTACGGTCTTTTAAAAATTCTAGAGCTCAAGATGTACTCTGTATAATTGTTTCTATTTAACGTCCAAAATTCCGATAATAATATCGATTTTATAGAAAGCAATACCAATACATAAAAACAATAATTTTTTTTTAACCCTCCGTCGGTCGGATATTTATTCACATTCGAACGGTTGGAGTAGTCTGGCTGGACCACCATTCATTTTACATGCATTTATATGGGATAAATGAGTTTTTGGTGTCTTATATATTAACGATTATTAGTAATAAATATTTATAGTTTTGATTTTTTCTTTTTCTTACCGTCTTTTGCATGTGTTGAGCTTGCTTATAATAAAAATATTATATATTATATTATATTATATTATATTATATAAAAAAAATCTAGGAATATAAAAAAATCGTAGCTTTTTTTGTTAATTTTTCTGTTTTATATCAATAAAAAACAATATTTATTCTTTTTCGGCGGCTTTGAAATGAATATGAAATTTAAATGAAAACGAAATGAGGTGCGTCGCCTTTGAAATGAGCTGTAAAATTTAAGTTGAAAATATAATTTCACTACAGGTTTGCCAAAAAAATTTTGGAACGCAGTACGAGTAGAAAAATTGTTGATAATGTGCGCATTACTCATACGATTTTCAATGTTTGCAATGACCAATAAGTTTGGTAGATTTTCAAGGAACTCTCGTCGTGAAAATACTAACATTCATATTACAACACATAGCAAAAAATATATAAAACGCAGTTTGGAAAGAAAATACCAGAAAAAAGACAAAATACTAGTTTACATATATCAAAAAGCGTATATTTCATACAAAATGTATGGGTGGTCTAGACAGACCACTCCGACCGTTCGAAGTATAAAAAAGTTAATATCCTTATAATTATCCTTCTGTACATTTTTTCGTCCTGAATTTCTCATTGATAGACAGCTGATGAAATTTTAGGAAAAGTCAAGAAAATTCAAGTCGATAGGACTACTAGAAGTATTTTTTTTTTTTTTAATTGAAGTTGAAAAAAGTCTGGCCAGGCCACTCCGACCGACGGAGGGTTAAGCTACTCATGGTAGACAAAATTAACAAAACCCTTATGCCATACAATTGTCGTTAATAATCGATTTTGAATAATGATTTAATAATCTATTATCAATTGGCCTATGAATGTGTGCCTATTTACCACGTACCCCGACGCGTCCGTTGTCGAAATCTCGTCCGCCCGCTATGGTGAGCCGCGCCTTGGCCTTCATCGCGTCCGAAAGCGGAATCTTGGCGCGTGCGGCCTCCGTGTGACTCTTGTAGCAGAACTCGAGTAGCGCAACCGCCAGTGCGACGAGCAAGCCGCCTATCAGGATGTAGAAAATTCCGGCTACGTTGCTCAAGGATAATTCGTTCCGGGATGCGTCTTGTTTGTCGCCGTGCCTGCACTCGGTCCGGTCGTACCACCATTTATTCGAAAGCTTTGTTAATTCTCCGTTCTCCTTTAAGGATAATATTTCTAAATTGACGCTCTCCCTAGAAGAATAAATTTGGGTGTTAACATAGTTGTTAATTGAAATACTGGTTCAGATCATCATTTGATCTTTCGTCATTACATTTACAGCACACACACAAAAAACAAACGTACGAGTATACTATATGTGTATATGCATATAATAAATAAATATTCATGGATAGTGCTGCCCTAGGGCAGGTCCGTGAGCTGAGATTCGGGGAAGAATAGTTGTGACACGATTCAGGGAAAAATAGTATGAGAGATTTCTCATTGCCATTTCACATCGCAGTACCCGAAATGGGCAACTTTCAATTGGAAACATACTTCTAATTTATATTTTCGAGTGAGAATGGACATCGCTACCGCACAATATCAGGTCTTCCAGAACGCGGGCTCGAACATGCTACGCCATGGAAGACATTGTCTATATATGTATATGTATATATATATATATATATCTATATATATATATATATATATATATATATATATATAAGGCAGCCAATTTTCTAAAAAATGATGATTAACGATAATGTGTCATAAAAATATTTGCAAGAGTTAGTTATTTTATTTAGTTAGTTATTTTATTTAGTTAAAAACTGATTAGGTTAAATACATACTGATTTTTAACTTTCCGTAATGTATAGTACATAATCGCAAAAAATGGAAAATGAACATTTTTATGTAGCATTTTTACAGACCTTAGAAAAAAAATGGATATATGTGTGTGCGTGTACGTGTGCGGATACATATTTTTGTCAACGATTTGAGAAACATGAATTAATCGATTTGACTGAATCAAAAACATTTGATTCGTATTGATGAGAGACTTGCTGATTACTTTTTTGCTAAGGTGATTCTAGTCGTTTCGAAGATACGGTGCAAAAAGTGCAAAAAAAATTGCAATTTAGTTTGGGAGCGGCCGATTATAATGATTCGAAAATATTTTGTTTATGTTGGCGGTGTGAAAAAAATTTATACAAAGATTTTCGAAATTATTAAAAAACATTTTTCTTGTATGGATAGAATTAAACCTCTATCGGTTTCGGAGATTCAGAAAAAAATGGTATAAGCTTGTCAAAAGTGATCATTGAACCTATGCACATCAAATTATCAGATATTTTAATACTGAGTATATAAATTTATTTATCATTTTGAGATTTTTTATTCTTAAAATTTACTTATATGATTTTTCAAAATATTCTTCACATGCATCAATCGACTTGAATGAGTCAAAATCTTCAAAACTTTCACTTCGTACTGACTGCGAGACGTTTTTTGCGAAAGACTCAGGCGTTTCGATGCAAAGGGTAAAAAAATGATGGTGCAATTTTTTATCGACTTCAACGGTTCATCTGATTACATTTTGATTGCGTTGACGTTGTGAACAAATAATTACGTTTTGAAGAAGGAAGTTCTAGCAGTTTCAAAATTTTGAAAAAAAAAATCGAAAATTCAAATTTTCAAAAAATATCAAAAATAACTAGTTGTAAGTGGCATTTTGCCTTAAGGCAAGTTGCTAAAACTTCGATAGTTCTAATAATTGACTTCAACCGAAATTGAATTTAGATATTTAGATAAAATTTTCAACTGTTTATTTCAAAAATAAAGATTTTGCTCTCACTCAAATCCAAACATAGCAATTTCCAATTGATATCTCTCAAACACATTTATAATATCGTTTTGCTAAATTCTAAGAAATGGCTTGTTCCGTCGTCTTGCCTAATCGTGTCGCCTTTATCGAGTTTATTCCAATGGATTCTAAATTTGTGAGGAATGAGATTTTGAATATGTGATATTTGTGTAGAGAAAAAAGTAAATAATTATTATCTTAAAATATTTAAATAATAGTACCCATAACTATGTGTTATGCAAATTATAATAAAGTGTAAGTATCTTGGCTTAGTATAAATAATATCAGAAGGAATAGTATCAACATTCGAGTCAATTTTAGGCAATGTAATGAATAATATTGCGCAGTTTCCATAGCAAAATGCTGTGTATTATCTAAAATAATAAATATATGTAAATCGAGCCCGTTGAATTTGTGGACAACACAATGAATATGCATAGAGTTATTCAAACGTTGCGGGCTATGAACTGCCCTCGATTCTTCCGCCCTGTAAATAGAATATTTTTGAATATAATTCAGCCGTAAATATGCTCGTTAATGACTCTATTAGAATTCATTATAATGAAATTTAATATATTTCGTTGCGCTCGCCAAGTCTTCTCAGCTCTTTCAACCGCACCCGATTTAGGTTTTTATGAACGTTTTTTATGCTCACGGATGTCATAAACCTAATGTTTTTATACTTTTATTTGCTAATTCCAAAGTTATTAATAAACACTTTTCGTAATTTTATGTTCAATAACATGTTTATGTAAGTGAAAACGTTAATTATTATATTAAGTTTTATAGGTATAAGTATGTAGGCATGTTCAATAGTTTATTTGCAACTTTAATAATCATATAAATAATTTACTTGTTATTTTGATGATATAGTTGTATATAAAAAGTAGAATAAATTGTATAACATTTGTGTGGACGATTTTGAAATTGTTAATGAACAATAACGTTACTGATGTCCACTTTGTACAGATACAGATAGATATGTGATATTGTTCATTAGTTTAATTGTGGTTCTTTTATTTAATAGTTGTGAGAGTTTTGGTTAGATTTTTAGATATTTTCAACCCATAGTGTAAGCTATAATAATCGCAAAAAATCGAAGATGAAAATTTTTGCACATCTTTCCGTTTCAAAGATTTCTTATCATTTTGGCATACCTTAGAAAAAAATATATGTATATACGTATGTGTGTAGGTGTGTGTATGTATGTGCGCATACAATTTTTGTCGACGATTTTGAGAATAGATCAACCGATTTCAATGATTCAAAATTCAATGATTCATACGATTCCTGTCGATGGGAATACCTGCTAATTAGCTTTTAGCTCAGACAGGTCCAGCCGTTTAGAAGATATAATGCAAAAAGTGCCAAAAATGGTAACAAAGTTTTTTAGAGGACCGAGCTTCCGAGTTGAATGATTCAAAAAAGATTTTGTTTGCATTGACGATATGAGCAACTTTTTGAATTTTTGGGAAAACATGTCCAGCAGTTTCAAAGATTAAATAAAAAATGTTGAAAAATGGAATATGGCGGTCAAAAATGATCATTAAACATATGCACACCAAATTACCAAATTTTATAGAAATTTTAATAAGTACAAATTTTGTTTATTTTATATGGGTTCCGTACCAAGATTTATAATGTTTTATCATTAGACTGCAACGTGGCGTTTACGCGCCCCGATATTTCGTCTGTAAAATGCATAGCTATTTTGCGCTATCGCCTTGAGAAAAGTTCCAAATTTTCAAAAAATTTAAATAACGGTACGGCAAGCTCTAGCAAATTTTCTTTAAGGCACGATGCGATCGATGCTCCACAATTATCAATACATTATAGATAATAATAGACGAACTATTTAATGCTACTTATTATAATTATGTTTGTGCTTTATCATTACATATAAGTTAGCAAAAAAAACTATTACATATTTATTTTTACACTTCTCATTTTACATTTGTCATTACACTTTGCTTAACAAGACACTTTTGTAGTTGGTTCCTTCATCGTAAATTCAGTTAGGATAATTTATTTCTCATTTTAAACTTTGAATGAGATAGTTTCTATTATAATATTAATATTATGTTTTATATAATATATAAAATACTGTATTAGCTCCTTACAGGTTCGAATATAATATCAGACATAAACATTCAAATTGTGACAGTATTGTCTTGACATCGAGTTGTCGCTTTATATCATTCAAACGATTTATACCATATAAAGTTTGAGTTATAGATTTATAATTCGATTGTTTTTACCAATTCATTCGTGACGATTAAAATTTGTTATATTACAATAGAAGTAGCGCTTTTTAACTTTTGCCGAAGAAACTTTACCGTCATCAATTGTCTCGCGAATTTCGTTGGCAACTTATCATAAAATGTTTGAAGCCACACAAAAACAAATCCGAACAAACTGAGCAACATTGTTTCTTTAACAGAATCAATAATGCTTGGTTACAATAGGATTCCCATTCCTTAGCTAACAAACATTAAAGTGTTAAGAAAATGGTTTGAAAACAGAGTTCCTTCAGTAGAAATGTTCGTAAGGCGGATTTTGTTCAATACAATATTAATGAACGAACAAATGTATAACTCTGAGACGTGCAGCTCTGACAATTCTTAATGAGTTTTAATTTATTAAACTCAACAATATCATAATTAATTCAGTATTATGCGCACGATTTCAATTCAACGCTGGATGTAATACGTAAGACATACAGACATATAGAGTTTACATGAAATATTAATTTGAATATTATGTGTATGTTCGCACGATTATTTTAAACGTATGAGAACATTCAAAATGTGGTCGACGATATTTGGAATTATGATACACTATTACTGAAGATATTTAATTTAGCATTACGTAACAATTCTTCCGAGTTGAATGTGATATCAATGCAGATATCCAAGTATTGTTTTTTATTTTCTACCTATTTTAATAAGACCATTAGTAGTTTTAACCCTTTTGCTACCGATGTCGACCTTAGACGGCACTCCCGTAGCGAAAGAGCTAATGAGTACAATTCGTCTGTTAGTTTTTAATTTATCTAATGATTATTTGGCTTCTTTGTAGATTAATAGTTAGAGCTAAGCAATTTAAATCGAAAGTTCATTACCTTCAGAAGTATTCTGGTTCGATACCCGCATTGGACAGCTTAATTTCAAACAGTTTTGACATTGGTTTTCACTTGGAAATATGAAAATAGCGATGGGTTTTTAAGTGAAAATAACTTTAGCTCGGTATTGCTGCATCAATAAAAAAAATTATTTGTATTAGCGGGAAGTCCCGTGACGCCGGACGGCACCAAGCACCGGACACTTTATTTAACACGCATTATTTAAGCGAGTATAAATCTTTTAATTTTAAAATACAAGTGAAAGG